GAAATAGACAACACAACCCAGGGTTCCAGCCTGGGGAAATAAAGCCTCAAAAATTGACGGAAAAAACCTGTGGGTGTTGAGGCAGCAGCGGGAGAAACTCCCAGCCTTACAGGAGAATTTGTTGGAGAGACCACAGGGTCCTAGAACATACAGAAGCCCACCCACCCGGGGATCAGCACCAGAAGGGCCCACTTTATTGTGGGTTGTGGGAGAAGCGACTGAAAACCACCCAGAGCCCAGTAAGCGGCATTGTTCCCTCTCGTACCCCTCCCCCACATACAACGCCACATTGCAGTGACATGGGTAGCCCTGCCCTGGTGAATATCTAAGGCTACGCCCCTTATAACATAACAGGTGCACTTAGACAAAAAAATATGGCCCAAATGAAAGAACAGATCAAAGCTCCAGAAAAAATACAACTGAGCGATGAAAAGATAGCCAACCTATCAGATGCACAGTCCAAAACACTGGTAATCAGGATGCTCACAGGAATGGTTGAGTATGGTCACAAAATAGAGGAAAAAGTGAAAGCTACGCAAAGTGAAATAAAGGAAAATGCACAGGGAACCAACAGTGAAAGGAAGGAAACCAGGACTCAAATCAACGGTTTGAACTAGAAGGAAGAAATAAACATTCAACCAGAACAGAAAGAAGACACAAGATCTCAAAAAAGATTAGGAGAGGCTTAGGAACCTCTGGGACAACTTTAAACATTCCAACATCCAAATCATAGGGGTGTCAGGAGGAGAAGAGGAAGAGCAAGAAATGAAAAACTTACTTGAAAAAAAATAATGGAGAACTTCCCCAATCTAGCAAAGGAAATAGACTTCCAGAAAGTCCAGGAAGCTCAGAGAGTCCTGAAGAATTTGGGGCCAAGGAAGCACACACCAAGGCACATCATAATTACATTAGCCAAGATGAAAGATAAGGATAGAATCTTACAAGCAACCAGAGAAAAGGAGACAGTTACCTACAAAGGGGTTCCCATTAGACTACCAGTTGAAGAGAGACAGCAGGGATTAAGAACCTATTTGAAGAAATAATCACTGAACACTTCCCTAACCTGATGAAGGAACTGACATATAAGCCCAAGAAGTACAGAGATCCCAAAAAAGGTGAAGCAAAAGAGGCACATACTAAGGCACATCATAATTAAGATGGCACAGGTTAAAGTCAAACAGAATCTTAAAAGCAACAAGAGAAAAGTAGTTAATTACCTTCAAGGGTGCTCTCATCAGATCATCAGATGATTTCTCAACAAACCTTTGCAGGCCAGAAAGGATTGGCACAGATATTCAAAGTGATGAAAAGCAAGAACCTACAACCAAGACCATTCTACTCAGCAAGGCTACCATTTAAAATTGCAGAAGATATTAAAGGGCTTCCCAGACAACCAAAAGCTAAACGAGTTCATCACTATCAAACCAGTATTACAAGAAATGTTAAAGGGACTTCTTGAAGAAGAAAAAGGGGGAAAAAGAACATAAATAATGAATAAGAAAATGGCAATAACTGTGTACTTATCAATAATCATTTTACATATAAATAGATTAAATTCTCCAATCAAAAGACATAGAGTAGCTGAATGAATAATCAAACAGATACATGCTGTCTAAAAAAGACCCACCTCAGCCCAGGATGGTGTGGCTCTGTGGATTCAGTGCTGGCCTCTGAACTGAAGGGTCACTGGTTCGATTCCCAGTCAGGGTACATGCCTGGGTTGTGGGCCAGGGCCCCAGCTGGGGGGCACACAAGAGGCAACCACACATTGATGTTTCTGTCCCTTTCTTTCTCCTTCCCTTCCCCTCTCTCTGGAAATAAAAACATAAAATCTTGCACTGGCTGGCGTAGCTCAGTGGATTGAGCACGGGCTGTGAACCAAAGTGTCACAGGTTTGATTCCCAGTCAGGGCACATGCCTGGGTTGCAGGCCACAGCCCCCAGCAACCGCACTTTGATGTTTCTCTCTCTCTCTTTTTCTTGCTCCCTTCCCTCTCTAAAAATGAATAAATAAAATCTTTAAAAAAAAAGATTCTCTCTTAAAAAAAAATCTTTTAAAAAATAAATAAATAAAAAATGAAAAAGACCCATGTCTGATTGAAAGATACACAGACCTAAAGTAAAGAAATGGAAAAAGATATCTCATGCAAATGGAAACAAAAATAAAAGCTGGGGTAGCAATACTTACACCAGCAAAATAGACTTTAAAACAAAAGCTATAAATAAAAGACAAAGACATTCCATAATGGTAAAGGGATCAATCCAATTAAGAGGTTATAATACTTGTAAATGTTTATGTAACCAACATAGGAGCATCTAAATTTATAAAGCAAATGTTGGAACATATAAAGGGAGAGATAAACAGTAATAGAGTTATAGTAGGGAATTTAAACACCCCATTGACATCACTGGATAGATCTTTTGACAGAAAATTAACAAGAAAACAAAGGCCTTAAATAACACATTGGACCAGATGGATTCAATTGATATTTTTGGACATTTCACTCCAAAGCAGCAGAATATGCATTCTTTTCAAGTACACATGGAACATTTTCCAGGGTAGATCAGATGTTAGGCCACAAAACGAGTCTCAATAAGTTAAAGAAAATTGAAATATGTCAGCATCTTCTCCCTCCACAATGGTATGAAACTAGAAATCAATTACAAGAAAACAACCTGAAAAACACACAAACACACGGAGGCTAAACAACATGCTACTATACAATGAATGGGTTAACAATGAGATTAAGGGAGAAATCAAAAGATAACTTGGGACAAATAAAAATGAAAACACAATCCAAAAATCTATGGGCCACAGCAAAAACAGTCCTAAGAGGGAAACTCATAGCAATATAGGCCTACCTCAAGAAACAAAAAAAAGTCTCAAACTAGGAAAAGAACAACAAACAAAGCCCAATGTGAAAAGAAAGGGAATAATAAAGATCAGAGATGCAATAAACAAAAGAGAGTCTAAGAAACTAACACAAAAGATCAATGAAACCAAGAGCTGGTTCTTTGGAAATATAAACCAGATTGACAAGCCTTTAACCACACTCATCAAGAAACGAGAGAAGGGACCCAAACTAATAAAATAAAAAATGAAAGAGAAGAAACAACTGACACCAGAGAAATACAGAGGATTGGACCTAAGAGAGCCCCAAAACATATTAATTGACAGAACTGAATGAAGAAATAGACAGTTCAACAATAATTGTTGGAGACTTCAATACCCCACTTTCAATAATGAGTAGAACAATAAGTAAATAGAGGACTTGAACACTAAAACCAGGCACTATTCTTGGATTCAACAATGAACAGACAAAAATCTTTGCCCTAGAGGACCTTACAAAAAATAAGCAAGATTTTAAAAGGTACATTACATGCTATAAATAAAAATTAAACAGAGAAGGGAAACAGATTGTCACAGATTGTACATTTTACTCAGTGTGGCTGGGGAAGACCTTACTTACTAAGAAAATGATGTCTGAGTAAAGAGTAGTTTTCCTTACCCTCAATTATCGGTTACCATTCTACTTCAAATATGTGTGTAGTAGACAAACTTCCCATCTAGCTGGTGAGTTCCTTGTTGGCAAGGGCTATTTCCAGCTCCTAGCACGGAGCTTACATATAGAAGGGCTATTCAATAGACTTACTGAATACACAAATACATACATACATCCAGCACCAGTTTAGGGTCACAGCAGCTTTATAAATTGCTACTTATAAACTGCTTACTAACATCTTTATCCTAGGTCTCCATGATAAATTAGTTTCTGTGTGGGCGGTCCTCCAGTTCAATGGTCTAGGTGAAAGGAATTTATTTGCTCGAGGGGTCAAATACTGGTCTAACTAACCCAGAAATTGAGTATCTGATTAAGTCAACAATTAATAATGGGAAACATCTCTCAGATGACTTGGTCTCAGAAATGTATTACCATATTTTGTAGGGTATAATGTGTACTTTGTTGCCCAAATTTTTGAGGGAAAAAATAAGGAAGTGTATTAAACATGGGTAGTACCAAAATACCTTGTATCTGTTCTTGTGTTTTGTAATTATTTGTTACATAAAATTTCTTGTACCATAGCCCTGGCTGGTGTAGCTCAGTGGATTGAACACAGACCAGTTCAGTTCCCAGTCAGGGCACATGCCTGGGTTGTGGGCCAGGTCCCCTGTGGGGGGTGCAAAAGAGGTAACCACATATTGACATTTCTCTCTCTCCTTCCCGTCCCCTGTCTCTAAAAATAAATAAATAAAATAAAAATTTCTTATACCATCATATGTTCAAAAGTAATGCTAAAATCCTTTATAATACAAAAAAAACAAGTATCTAAATATAAATAAATAAAACATTGAAATGAAAAATTAAAATGAAAGATTTTTTTCCTGAAAGTTTGGGCCCAAAATGTGGGTGCACATTATACACAGAACACTATACACAGCAAAATACGGTAATTTGCCTTTAACACATATTTTATACATAAAAACAAAGGCTCATAAAAGTCAAAATTCTATCAGAAACATGTTTGCCATGCCCTGGCTGGTGTGGTTCAGTGAACTGAGTGTCAGCCTGCAAACTAAAAGGTCTCTGATTCTATTCCAGGTCAGGACACAGGTCTGGGTTGTGGGCCAGGTCCCCAATTGGTGGCATGCGAAAGGTAACCAATCAATGTATTTCTCGCACATTGATGTTTCCCTCCCCTTCTCTCTCTCTCTTCTCCTCTCTAAAAATAAAAAAAATAAGCCCTGGCTGCTGTTGCTCAGTGGATTGAGTGTGGGCCTGCGAAACTAAGGGTCCCTGGTTTGATTCCCAGTCAGGGCACATGCCTGGGTTGTGGGCCAGGTCCCCAGTAGGGGGTATGTGAGAGGCAACCACACACTGTTGTTCCTCTCCCTCCCTTCCCCTCTAAAAATAAATAAATTAAAATCTATAAATAAATAAATAAATAATTTTTAAAAAGAAAGAAATGTGTTTGTAATGACCCGAGACCACTTCTCCTGACCTGCACCAAGCTCATTTCCAGCTGCAGAGCATCTCTCTCTCTCCGAGCTATATCCAGCTCTCCTTCCAACCGCCGCACCTCAGACTGCATGGATGCCAGCTGCTGCTGGGCCTCCCGGGCGGCCTGGGCCTCCCTGTGCGTGTTCCCCTGAGAAAGAGAATCAAACTTAAGTATATACCAAATTTTCTGTCTCCTAGTTACTTCTATTCCCCACTTCCTTCCCCCGCCACCCAAACCCCAAGCTTCCTTTCCTTTTCTTCACATTTGACCTAGTTCCTAATCTCTGTTTAGTCCTTCTCTTTGGTCTCCCATGTATTCGATGTCCTTGCCTCCCACATACACACATAGTTCTTCAGTCTCCATCTGAGTCCCCTACACCCCATATTTTGACATTTCAACTCATTCCATTGTTTTGCCTTCCATCTGTTCCTCATTCCCCAACTGCTGCTTTTACCTTCTCCCTTTCCAACTGAGCCTGGTCCTCCTCCTGCAGTGCCTGGTAGCGTTCCTTAAACTGGCGCTCTTGCTGGGTCCAGGTCTGTCGTTCTTCTTCTAGGGCCACCTGAAGTGTCTCCAACTGTCGATGCTCACTGAGCTGCCCAGCACGAGCCTCATCCCGTTCTTCCTGCAGGGCTCGACACTGCTGCTGTTCTAGCTCCAATCTTAACATCAGAGCTTGCCTTTCCTCTTCCTAGAGCCCCAGGAGAAGACCAAGATCCTCAGCATGCCTTCAAGAGACCAGCAACATGCCCCCTCACCTCCCATACAATATGCCTACTGAGAATTGTGTCCATTAAAAATACAAAAGCTGGCAAGCCAAAAGTATTCTGATATAGTAGATAAGAGCTTCTGTTCCAGAAATAGGTAAATCTGGGTTCAAATTTCACTTTGAGTCCCAGCTCTGTCATTTACTATGTGTCCTTAGGTATACATCCTCATCTGTGAAATGGGCAGGCATAATATTGTCATCTACTTTGTGAAGATTAAAGTGAAAAGAGCATGTAAAGCATTTAGCACAGTGTCTGGCATGTAGTAAGTACTCAGTATATAATAGCTATCACCATCATCAAAAGAAATCCCACAAAGAATAGAATATCCAGCCTACCATCGTGTACTAGCCAACCAGCAACCATCACCAACACTGTTGGATATAGCCTGTTAAGATTCTAAGTACCAGCATGCATATAGCAAGCATGTGTCATGCATGCAATAAGTTCCAAACCTGGCTACTAATTCACATGGGTAATCACCTTATCATTTCGGTAATAAGAACTTGAATGAGTCTCATTCCATACCATTTTGGCTATGCCCTAGACCACAGTTCCCAAACCTGGTTGAACAGAATCACAAAGGAAATTCCTGAAAATATTTCGTTTCCCAAACCCCACCATATATCTACTGAATCAAAACCTCTAGGGATGGGTCCCAGAGATCTATACATTACAATAATTCCCCAGATGATTCTAATGAGGATTCTAATAATTTGCAGTCAAACTCACTTGGTGGCAGAGCCCTTTTTGTAATCTAGCAGAACTAGTATTTTAAGGAACACTCTTTGGGAACTACTGCCCTGGTGCAACTGAAGTTATGAATTCCCATGATCCACCAACAGCCCAAGCCCTCTAGAAGTAATTAACATAACAGCCTCTGTTGGAATTAATCCAGCCCAGCATTCTCACCAGCATTTCTCTTTCCCGGTGCTGTAGTCTGGCAGCTTCCTGCTCACGATTCAGGGCCTCCATGGCCTCAGAAAGACTTTGTTCTAGGCGGGTTACTGTCTTTCAGGAAACAGGACAGAAGAACTGAGGGGAATCTCTATGTTATACAAAAAGCATTAACAATGTAAACTTTAAAACTAAGGGTTAAGTCAATTACTTGAGGGCCAAAAAGACTACATGGTATGAGAAAAGCTGGGAAGACATCAATGATGCATGTTTGACAGTAGAAACAGTGAAGGGAGCAGAAATAGGAAAGAATTGTCAGGCCAGCTACTGCAAGATTCAGGTCAATCTGGTAGGAACCCTAATTCCAGGGCTATTTCAACCCCCTCATTCTAGTAATCAGTGACTGAGGTTATATAACCCACATTGCCCACCTCCTGCTGCTTGCTTCTAGTGAGTTCAGCTGCCTGGCGTTCTTCCTGGAGTCCCCGAAGTACTTCTGTGCGTTCAGCTTCATGCTGGTTCCAGCCCTCCACCACACGGGCCAGTGTCTCAGGAGAGGAAAGTCAGATGTAATTCCAAAATAATATTTTTGCCTTCCTTCTGCCCATGGGGGCAAGGTCAACAGTCACCTTCTCCCAGTAGCCAGTAAGCCCACCCCTTAGCCCAGCTCCTAGCATGAACAAAAGATGTTGGTCGGCCATCCCCTATTTATTATTCCTTAGTGCACCCTATGGGGAGACCCACTACATTCTGCTACCCTGGCACCTTGTCCAATTGTTCAATCATGATATCTTTCTTGCGGTCAGCATTCACAGCCACAGCTAACTGTTGCTGAAGCTCTAGCACGCGGGTCTGTAGGCTCTGAATATGACGCTCACAATGCTGGGAAGAAAGATAAAGAAACAGTACTGCCATCCTTAGTCTGACCAAAGCACTGAACTTTCCAGATAGGTGGAAATGGGCTAGAGACAGGAAATGGGCTGTATCTCAAGGATAGAATAGGTTTGGAAGAGAATCAGGAATTCTGGAGCATAAACCTTATGGCCCGAGACTTCTAACACCTTCCTCTACCATCTCAGAAAGCAGGAGCTTAGCTTCCAGGCTCTTCCTTCCCCTGGATCCCCTGAGAAAAATTTCCACAGACCTTTTGGTAGGGGTGCAGCAGCCCACGCTGCAAACAGTGGGAAGTTACTCCTGCCTTGAGAAGCTCATTGAACACAGTGATTAAACATCGCAAGGATAAAGGCAAAACCTGTCATTCGTGCCCAGGCAGTTGAAAATAGAAGAAGAGAAGGTTCCAAAAATGATAACACAACCAATGATTTTGACTTTTCTTCTGCCTTGTCCCTCTTTTTCTCCCATCAGACAGGCTGAAGTTCAGAGAGATAAAACTCATTGTATCAGCAGCTATAAAGCCTTTGTACAAGACAATAAAGTTCATTGCTCATTCACCAAACACTTATGGAGTGCTTCTATGTGTTTGGTATATTCTAAATTTTAGGAAGACAGTGCTGAAAAAGATAAGGTATGACCTTCATGGAGCTTAGATTTTAGAAGAGCAAAATAAGCAAGATACATCAGACTGTGATAAGCTACATGAAGGATATAACAGAGTAATGAATACCTGGAGGAGAGGTGTGCATTTTAGATAGGATGGTGGAACAAGGCCTTCCTGAAGAGCCACTAGAGCAAAGCCCCAGCTTCGGTCCCTTAACCCTCTTCCCTTCTTAGCACTTAGCCCTATTTCTAATCTTTGCTGCTTTCAAAAGAAAGTCTTTATATCTCACCTTGCGACGAGTATGCTCTGAATCCAGTGCATCTCTCAGGCCCTGAAAATCTGGGGGATTTAGTGGGGGTCCTGGCCGAAGGCTGGTGTAGCGGGGAAACAACTCCTCCAGGGCTTGGGCTGAGCTGGATGGAGGTAAGTCTTGCAAGGGTCGGGTGCTGAGCAAATCAGATAGAAATATTAGGATTGGAAAAGGATTTGAGACCCACGAGTCCAACTGTGACATTTTATAAATAAGGAAACTGAAACTCAGAAAGCACAAGAGACTTGGCCGATGTCTTTAAGTTAGGTAGTGACAGAACCATACACAGCACATAGGTTCTGTGATTCTCTCTATAGTGCTCCTTCCTCCAGGCCACACTCCCTGTGGTAAAAGTCTCCACAGAAGCAAGCTAACTCTTCTGGGAGAAGGAGGAGTAGAGGCTGGGAGAAGGCCAAGTACTAGGCAGCAGGTGCCCAAGTTCCTGAAGAGTAAAGAGAATAGAAGACAGGAGAGAAAGGATAAAACTAAAAGCTAAGTGGCAAGTGTCTTAGGCCTGAAGAGGTACAATGGCACTAAAGGAAGAACTAAGAAATAGGACACTCGGCTCTGTAAGAGAGAGGGCAATCAAGCTAGAACAATCCCACGGGGAACTCACTTAAGCAAGGTGGCTGTGCTCTCACTGTCAAAGGAGTCTTCTTCCCGTCTCTCTGAGCCCACACCTGGAGTGAGGGGATCTCCTGCAGGGAGCCAAAGGGAGCCCACAGCCAGCAAGGATCAAGTAAGGATAGGAACAAGGGCCACTTGAAGGAAAAGAAAGCAGAGAGCCTTCCTTTCTATTTCACCCACTCCTCTAGCCCTTCTCCCAAAGAACTGAAGCCTTTCCTTCTGAAATCTTGTCTCAGAGGTCTAGGTTCCCCTGGCACCCCGCTTCCTTTCTCTATTTTCTCCCACTCCTTAAATCTAGGTTCTCCTTTATAGGGAATGGATTTACTCACGATAGGGTGCATCACGTGAGGTTTGGAGCATGCTCTGGAGTTGGCCCCGAACACTTTCCATCTCAAAGATGTGCTTGGAACCATCCTAGAAAAAAGTAACAGAAATCAGAAGCAACTTGAATAATCTATATTCTACCTACTGCCAGAGTAGAAGGCATCCAGTACCCCCTAAAACTCAAGAATTTTTACTCCAGCACCTGGGAAAGCAAGAACAAAGAGAACTGACCCAATAAGGGTCAGAAACTCAAATGTGTACAGATGCCAGACAGGTGGTGTAAATAAATTAATATGGCACATTAAAACAAGAGTAGTGAGGATTCTTGCCAACTAGAGAGTAAACAACCTGCCTAAAAACTGTAGTACATGGCTATCAATTTTTCAAACTCTGGAAATTAGTTATGAGACCTTTTCAATGGAACACTAATAACTATTTTCTCTGTAACATGTATAATTTATTAAACTGTGTCTTAATGATTTACATGCCTAATTTTGAACCATACAATCAAAACAGTTTTGAACTGAAACGATCTTAGCATATTTTGCTGCTATCTTTAAGTCCCTAGTTACCTCTTAGGATGAAGAAAACTTAGCCCTGGCCGGTGTGGCTCAGTTGGTTGGAGCATCATCCCATAGACCAAAAGGTCAAGGGTTTGATCCCTGGTCAGGGCACATACCCAGATTGCAGGTTCAGTTCCCCTGTTGGGCATGTACAAGAACACAACCAATCGATGTTTCCATCCCCAATCCCATACTTTCTAAAAGGGAGAGAGAGAGAGAGAGAGAGAGAGAGAGAGAGAGAGACAGGCAGTGAAAAATGTCCTCGGGTGAGGATTTTAAAAAAGAAAGAAAAAGAAACCTTATCCTCACTTCCAGGTCCCAAATCTCAGTCAGAGAAGCACAGCAACCTGTCCCACAGTGCAGGTATCTGTGACAAAGAAAACACTGGGAAATTTTATAACTTCCCAAATTCTGGTGTCCTGGGCCATTCTCTTTCTCTCTCATAAACATTGGCCCCCAGAAACAAGGATGACTGACTCTGTACTTAAAAGGAATATGAAATCCAACAATAGTTCAAATCTCAGTAAAGCTTTTTTTTTACCACCCCCAATCTCAAGACCCAAGAGGTCCCCCAGACACACCTCCCTCACCTTTTTCTTCAAGTTGTTCTCCAATCCAACTGACAAACTGCGACTCAGCTCTTGGGCCAAGCTGCTTAACCCTTCATGAGGTGGTAGGGAAGTGGAGGGTAAATACAGCTGGGCTCGGGCTGTGGCCTCTGCTTGACGACTGAGGTGCAAAGAAGCATAGAGCTGGGAGGTCACCTCGGAGGACACTTGGTTCAGCCCAGGGGCTTCTGATGAATCACTCAGGAGATCCTCAGCCTGGAGAGGTGAACTGGGGCTGGTAGCTGATGTCGCCATGAGTACAGGAAAGAGACAACTGGAGACAGCAGAGCTAGGAACTCCTGGTTCTGCTTTAGGAGAGCCCAGGGGGTAAAGTACACAGAGAAGGAAGATTTGGGAGAAAGGGGGAAAACTCCAAGCCAAGGAATCTTGGTGAATAGGGATATGGAGGCTTTCTGGTTACAGGAAAGATTCCCACCGGTACTACAGGTCATGGGAGAAAGCAAAAGCATTTCTTTCCACAGCTCCTGGAAACTGTAGAAAAGATGGGGAAAAGCAAGGAGTGAGTGGGGGACAAAAGCACCCCTGAAGTTCATCTGGAGTGCTGAAAGGTGCAGATCAACTTCTGGCACAGGCTATCACTGGTCAATTCAGCTCTTAAGTTCTCACACCCAGAACATGCAAACTGAAACAAACCCAAATCAAATAGTGGCTTAATTTCCGTCCAGCTGCCTTACCTGCCCCTCAACTGGCTCCAGTCTCAGAGAGACAGGAACGCCACTCTCCCCACCTCCCCTCTGCCCACTGCACAGTTCTACCCAGAGTCAACTGTCTCGTAAATCCCCTGCAACCCCTCCTGCTACGAAAGCCGCGGCAAGGCTCCCTAGAATCCCTCCCTTCCCACTACCGCAAAAGAAACTTTGTGAATATTCAGTCACACCCTCATAATGTCCCTAAAAATTACTCCCCCCTCAAACCTAGCCTGCAATGTTGTACCTTGATTACTCCGTTCCGACTATCCCACACCTCCAGTCTTCAGCCCCCCAATTTGTCACGGATAGCCCCCTGCCCGAGCCCGGATCCGGAAAGACCTAGACCTCCCCCCTCGCGCCCTTCCCTACACTCAAAACCGTTGGCAACCGCCTGCCCACCGCCCAAAGCCCCGCCTCTCTTTCCTCGATGACGTCACCAGCCCGAAGACCTCTCTCGCTGACGTACTTACTGCTTCTGGAGCCTGGGAGCTGGAACGCGCGTGCGCGGGCCCTACAGCCGCGAATTGGCTGAGAGAGGTATTGGGACGCTGTAGTAGCTCCTCTGCCGCGAGGGGACCCGGTGGGGCGGGGCTCCGCGGAAACCGGAAGCATCTAGTGACAGGCACTTGGAGCAGTTCCGGTGAGTTCGGGGGACCCCGCCTGGTTGGAGGGATCCAGGGCAGAAAACTGGGACCCACAGAGGGTGGGCGGTACCGGAGCGAGGCTCACACTCTGTGTCCTGCAGATGACTGTCCACAACCTGTACCTGTTTGACCGAAATGGAGTGTGTCTGCATTACAGCGAGTGGCACCGCAAGAAGCAAGCGGGGATCCCCAAGGAGGAGGTGACGAGAGGGCCCCGCGCAACCGGGTGACCTCTCATCTCCAGACGCACACAGTCCCAGTCCAGTCACCTCCCTCCAAATCCTGGCTCGTTCCCGCCCCTGGTCTGTCTGCTTCAACAACCGAGAGCTAACTCTGCCCCTCTCCCTCCAGGAGTTCAAGCTGATGTACGGGATGCTGTTCTCTATCCGCTCGTTTGTCAGCAAGATGTCCCCGCTAGACATGTACGCGGAATCCGGAGTCAGAGGGGATGTTAAGGGAAGGAGGAATAGCCTTGGGAATTGCGGGGGGCGGGGGTGTTCTGGAGTGGGAGGGGCATTTGGCTCCCAAGGAGGGGAAGCTAATCTGAAGCGACAATGCTGGAGCTGGAAGAAGCCGCGGTGAGGAAAATCTGAAGGTAGAAACGTTGGATGTGGGGGCCAAATGGGGGGATCGGTGCGGGGCCGGGAAATGAGAGTTGTCCTTAGTCAACCAGACTCCTACAAATGCATTTAGAGAGAAGAGTCGACCTAAAGAGGATTAGAAGTGTCTTTCTGGGAGAAATTCCTCTCTCATTCCTTAACATCCTCCTCATCTCTGCAGGAAGGATGGCTTTCTGTCCTTCCAGACTAGCCGTTACAAACTCCATTACTACGAGACACCCACTGGGATCAAGGTTGTCATGAATACTGACTTGGGCGTGGGACCCATCCGAGATGTGCTGCATCACATCTACAGTTCGGTCAGTGCCAGACCCTGGGACCCTTATCCCAAAGCTCCTCAACAACAGTGGCCATGTAGAGCCCCAAGACTCCTTCAAAATCCCTGCCAGGATCCTACTGTAGTGTATAGAAGAGTATATAAGTCAGATAGAAGTCAGAGTTTTCAACACTCCCACCACCAGTTTCTCTTCGAGGAGGGCTTGCCTCCTCGCCCTTGATCCTACTGCATTCGCACATCCCTGAGGTTATACTAAGTTTAGAGTTGGAAACAAGAAGTGTCCAGACCCTGGCTCTAACACCCTCCCTCCCCATAGCTGTACGTGGAGCTGGTGGTGAAGAATCCCCTGTGCCCGCTGGGACAGACTGTACAAAGTGAGCTCTTCCGCTCCCGACTGGACTCCTACGTCCGCTCTCTGCCCTTTTTCTCTGCCAGGGCTGGCTGAAGGACGCACCCTACCTCGCCCCTCAGGAGAATCTCTGTCTACCTGCCCCTCCAACCCCTCTAGCTCCCAGGCAGCCCACCCTGGTGCCCTCCCCGTCATTACCTCCAAACCAGGCCCTCTCTCTAGGTTTATCCTCTACCAAAGGCCGTGAGAAGTCCAGAATAAACTTTTTGTCACTCTGTGGCTTGAGTGTGTCAGTTTGGGTGGTAGGTCGGGGCCCTGCCCTGCTCATGGACGGTGGCCACATCCCCTGAGCCTGACCATGGGTTTCTTAATAACAGCACTACTGACATTTCCAGCTGGATAATTCATTGGTGGGGGGAGGGGCGGGGAGCTGTCCTGTGTTTTGTCCTGGGCGCCACACACTAGATGCTGTACTTTATCTTGGGCGCCACTTACCTGTCGCCGGTGGTGATTGTCAAAAAAAGATCTTGTCAAACGTCCCCTGGGGGTCTCAGTCGTCCTCTACTGAGAACCACTGGGTTGAATCCAGAGGGTACCGAAAACCACCCTCCCGGGGTCTGCTCTCCAGGTCCTGAATATACCCACGATTGAAGCTATGGAGCTTCAGAAGGTGGGGTTTATGCAGATAATGGCAGGTTTAACTGGGAGGCAGGCGGGTTTATGCAAACGAGAGGGCGGTGCCTGCATGATGATTAGCTGAGCCTGCTGCGGACGGGGCTGGGAGCCCAGCAGGTCCCGCTGCGGAACAGGCTGAGGTGGCAACTCTCTCCCCGCCCCCCTCCAACTGTCCCTAGGTCCCTACCCTCCTAGGACCGCCCTCCACCTCTACTGTCATTCATTTCCCCCTCCTCCCTGCGCCAGTGCCCCCCATAGAGGAATAACTCCCCTCGTGGTTCCCCCTGTGTTTCTCTCCTCCCACCGCAAACCCCGCGACCTCCAACAGCCCGCCCCCGCGGGCCCAATCCTGCCTGCTGACTCCCTCTGCAGCCTCCTCAGCCTTCCCGCTCTCCTCAGGGCTCGAGCCACTACAACCCCGTTTGTCCGCCCTCGGGCTTCCGGGCTTCCTCCCTCTCCGCCCCCTCGAAGCCCCCTCACCAACCCTGGCCAGCCGGCATGCAGGTGTCTATCGCGTGTACTGAGCAGAACCTTCGCAGCCGAAGCAGTGAGGACCGTCTGTGTGGACCCAGGCCAGGCCCCGGGGGCGGCAATGGTGGGCCGGTTGGCGGGGCGCATGGGAATCCTCCAGGAGGAGGAGGGCCAGGACCAAAGGCCCGAGCCGCAGTGGTCCACCGACCCCCAGCGCCCGCTGGGGCCCTCCGAGAGAGCACCGGCCGCGGCACTGGCATGAAATACAGGTATGGGGGTAGCCGGGCAGCCTGCCCTATCTGCTCCCCTTTCCTGACCTGAGGCTTTCTGGGATGCCTCCAGGACCCTCTCAAACTTCACTAAGAAGGTCCTGGCTCATTCTATCTCTTCTTCCCATAGCTGGCACTCCCTTACTTTGTCGCTCTCTTGGTCTTCCTTGATACCCCTGACTAGGAGAAATTCAAGTTTACTGAGATTGATGGGTCCTGTCAGACCCAGGGGGTGCTCCTGAGCTTTTCTCCTTACCCCCAGGAAAGCCAGGGATGCATGAATCTCCAGCCCCCCACCCCCCAAGATAGAGTGTCCTTGGGTCGGTGTCCTGGGAAGAGGTGGAGGAAGGAAAGGGCTTCTCGCTCTGGCCTGCTCAGGGTGCCTGACCCAGATACTGCCCCTACCTGCCCCATGGGCCCAGTCTCCAGCGACCTTTCTTGGGGGGACAGAAATGGGGTCCTGGGAAGGATGAGCCACATCTTTCAACCCCATGCTGAGGAAGAGGGGTCAAGTGGGGAAGGTGGACTATAATGTAACAGACTTTATCTTGGGGAGCTGCTGGGCTCTCAGAACTACTAATAGGGGGAGGGGAGGGGGAGGGGGTTCCTGCTTGGGAGTGAGCAGAGATCACTGATCTTACTGAGCTTTGCCAGCTAAGGAATTTGATCCCTTCCATGTGCCAGCCCTGCTTGGGAGGCTGAGTCAACAACCTGAGTGGGTGTTTTGGAAGGTGGGGGCTCTCTGGTTCAGAGACAAACTTCACAAGCCCACAGGAGCAGAGGGAATAGAGAGGGGAAGAGGAAGAACTGGCCTTTCCTGTCATTCCTGTCATACTCCCCATGGAGATTTCCTACCTACCTATATTGGAGGTCTATCTGCCTAGCTTATCTAGGGACACTTCCCTGCCTGAGTGCCTGAATTTGACTTGGCTCACCCCTCCATCTCTGGTGTCTGCCCTTTAGCATAGCACTCTGTCTGAAGGTCTGTTTTCACAAACTCAACATAATCCACCAGTCACATTTCTCCAGGCCCCCAACTCCACACATGCTAGAGATGACTCAAACACAAACAAGATCCCACAGAAGAAACATAAATCAGGCAGCACATCTCCAATGTGTTAGGAGGGAAGAGAGGCACTGGACAGTGGATCTAGCGGAAGTCATTTATTTGTTCACATATGCTATGGGCCCAATTCAGTAGCCCACTGGGTCTAGTTTCTTTGGACTGAGACATAGTGAGGGCTTCTTATTCTGGGGGGAGAGGAAGTGGGAGCTGATAATCTGTGTCCCTAATGGAGGCTCCACACCTTCCTGCTACTTCTGTCTCCTGCAGAAACCTAGGAAAGTCTGGTCTTCGGGTGTCCTGTCTTGGCCTAGGTGAGTTAGAAAGGATTTAAAGGAAGGGTGTTTTTTTATGGCTTGCCTCCCACAGTTCTCATGTGCCTGGCTTCCCTCTTGCAGGTACCTGGGTCACATTTGGTTCTCAGATCTCGGATGAGGTATAAGTGATGGGACTTAGAAGCAGGGTGAGGGGCTATGAGGGAACCAGAGCCTGGGGGGAATGGACCTGGATAGGGGTCCGGACAACAAGCACTGATGGATGGGGTTCAAGGCTGGAGGGTGAGGAAAGGGGACAGGATCTGGAAGCAAGGCTGAGGTGCTATGGGCCAGGGTGCAGCGAGGGAGGTGACTGAGGGGCCAGTGGTTGATCTTCATCTCTTTCTCTCGCCTCCCTAGACAGCAGAGGATGTGCTGACAGTAGCCTACGAGCATGGTATAAACCTGTTTGACACCGCTGAAGTGTACGCAGCTGGAAAGTAAGGAAAATTATGTTTAGAAGATGAGAGAACATCAGGACTTCCTGTTTTCTCTCTTAAGAACCCCAGGAATTCTGCGAACACTAAGTTCTAACCTTTCAGTCAGTGGGCCCCCAAAACATTATGGGACTCATAGTCCCAAACATCAAGTCCTTCTCCAGCTTAGGAGGCAATGGGCAGACTGTGCAGTCAAAATAAAATAAAACCAGCAAATACATCTTGGGCATCAGTTGTGTGCAACTGTGTGGGGATTTCAAAGCTAAATTTTCAAACATACCATGCCACTTCACACACCTATGGCTTCACACTGGGAGTACCCAAAACCTATGTTGACCTACCATTACATCTTCTCCATTTGACAGACTCTTCTGTTCATCTTCAAGACTTGGCCCAAATGTCAGCTCCTCCAAGAAGCCTTCACACAATTCTCCAAAGTTGATCACTACCCCCTTCAATTCCCAAAGCACTTTACACTACCCTCTGACACACCATTATCAATTACTGGTTCATGTGGCCATATTTGCTGCTCAATTGGGATTCTCCTTCCAATGAACTCTGTCTTGCTTTTCCCCATATCACCTAAGTACCTACACAGAGCCAAGCACAGAGCAGGCACTGCTTGTGGAATGCCATCAATATGCCCTCAATATGCTTACAGCCTCAGAGGTTATACAAACAAACTGAGAAGACAGGGAGCTATGAAACACTGAATAACAGTCCATTATAACAACTTAAGACTTGTTAGACCTTAGCTCATAGTTAAGTTCCAAAGAATTGTGTGGCCCAGAGGTTTTCAATCTTTTTCATCTCCTGGCACACATAAACTAATTACTAAAATTCTATGGCACACCAAAAAATATAATTTTGCCTATCTAACAAAAAAATAGGTATACTTTTGATTCATTCACATCAGATGGCTATTGTGTTGTCTGTTGCATTTTTTAAATTTGACAATCTAAGAGAAAAGAGGTCAGTACCCCTGACTAAACAGTCAGGTGTTGCATGTTTTAAAAATTCTTGTGGCAGACCAGTGTGCCACATCACAGCAGGTAAAAATCACTGGTGTAGCCAATGAGAGCTATGGAAACTGATATGAAAGACTGCCCATAGCCTATAGCATTCAGAGAACATTTTCCATTCTGCTCAGAGGTAGAATCTGAGCTAAGCTTTGGAGGATAGGCGGGATTTTGCAGAGACCCAAGGGGGAGGGCAACACAGATGACTGGAACCAGTGTCTCCCTAGTTTGTCCCACTCCCCTCCTATTCTTTCCCTTCCAAACTCAGACCAGAGCTTGGTACATAGTTGAATGATTGAATGAAAATTGTACAACTGTGCCCCTAGTTCCAGGGGCCTCTGTTATTTAGTCCAGAATGGGGCCTTGAGCCCCTGGGCTCCTGGTTTATGCTCCACTTTACAAGAGAGGAAATTGGTTGATGGAAAAGGTGAGGGAGAGGGGAAGGAACTGATCCACCTTCAAGGGTGAGTGCTTCTACCACTGTCTTTCTTCCAGGGCTGAAAGAACTCTAGGCAACATCCTCAAGAGCAAAGGTTGGAGGTGAGAGGGTGTTTGTGGGGTGAAGGTTGCTGGGGATGTGATCATCAAAAAAACCTTTTCTTGTGGGTTCCCCCATTTCTCTTTTTCCAGGAGATCAAGTTATGTCATCACCACAAAGATTTTTTGGGGAGGACAGTAAGTGGCTGCCCCCCTATAACTGGGGAGAAGATCTACATAGAGGATATGTGCAGGTGTATGGGATAAGGGTGGTGACAGCTGTCCCCACATTTGCTACCCCAGGCCTGCTTCTTGCCTGTGAAAACCAATGCAATCCCAGTTCCTCATGGTGCCAGCCCAGCCCTGGTCTCCTCCCTTTGTAACACCTCAGCTTTGACTTTCCTTTTCCTACAGGGCAGAAACTGAGCGAGGCTTGAGCCGCAAACACATCATCGAGGGTGAGAGTTAAAGACTGAGAACCTGAAGTGGCTTGGTATGGAAGCCAGAGGAGTTGGGGACATTCTCTGAAGCTCTTGAGTTAGAGGCTTTGAATAAGGGAACTGGAATTTAGGCAGCCATGGCAAAGGGGTGAGGTTCAGACCTCACCCCTTATTCTTCAGAAACTGAAGCCAAGGTACTTACCTTCCTGTCTTTATCCCTATCCCAGGCTTGCGAGGATCTCTGGAACGTCTCCAGCTGGGATATGTGGACATCGTCTTTGCTAATCGCTCAGACCCCAACAGCCCCATGGAGGGTAAAGCAGCACCCCAACCCTGATAGTCCTTCAAAACTGAGCACTTCTCAACTTCTCAAACCCTCAGCAGGAAGCCAGCCCTAGCTCAGGAAGCCTCCCACAGTGGAGGCTCAGATCCCAGGACTTAGGGAGGGAGGCAAAAAATAGATACCAACCTCTCTGGGGTCTCTGTGGGGCAGGCAGAGATCTGCAGGTCTGGAGTCCTGCATAGCAGGAATCTGACAGTAAGGCTCTCCCTCTCCCATATGCCTAGAGATTGTGCGAGCCATGACCTATGTCATCAACCAGGGCCTGGCCCTATACTGGGGGACATCCCGATGGGGGGCTGCAGAAATCATGGTGAGTGTGCTATCCCACTTGTCCCTGTCCCACAACTAGTTCCCATTTTCACATGGCCACTCCAAACTCCACTCTATTGGAGGAGGAGTGGAAGAAAATGGAAGGGGTGCTCTGACCCCCATCTCTGCCCCAGCCCCTCATGTCTTTCTCAACACACACAGGAGGCCTACGCCATGGCCAGACAGTTCAATCTGATCCCCCCGGTGTGTGAACAAGCAGAGCACCATCTGTTTCAGAGAGAGAAGATGGAGATGCAGCTGCCAGAGCTCTACCACAAGATTGGTTTGTAGCCCCCTTATCCCTACCTTTCCCTTGGGCTTACTATCACCTTGATCCCTTTCCCCACATCCAATCCTCTTGCTCTTAGGTGTCGGCTCAGTCACCTGGTCCCCTCTGGCCTGTGGCCTCATCACTAGCAAGTATGATGGGCGAGTCCCAGATCCCTGCAGGGTCACTATCAAGGTGTGATCTTAGGGCTCGGGATGGCAGGACTGGGCTCTCCTGGCCATTCTAGGGTGGTGGTGTGATCTTTTGCTGATTCTCTGTGGCCTCCAGGGCTACCAGTGGCTCAAGGACAAAGTGCAGAGTGAAGATGGCAAGAAGCAACAAGCCAAAGTCATGGACCTTCTCCCCATCGCTCACCAGCTGGGCTGCACTGTGGCACAGCTTGCTATTGGTGAGACACTGTCAGCCCTGGACCCTGCAGGGAGCTTGTTTCCTCCTGAGACACTCCCAAAGCCAAGACTGGTTTGTCCTCGGGGAGAACCCTCTTCCTCAGAGACACTTCTAATGTCCATCTGCTCACTGTTACCCATCAGTTCTCTTGTTTTCCTCCTCTGGCCCCAGCATGGTGTCTCCGCAGTGAGGGTGTCAGCTCCGTCTTGCTGGGGGCGTCCAGTGCAGAGCAGCTGATGGAACATCTGGGTGCCCTACAGGTGAGCTGGGGACTCAGAGGGTGAGCCCATCTCTATCCCCTCCCCAGGTGTCAAAGCCTCATTGTCCAACCCAGAATGGGCCTGTGAGGTCACCCACTACAAGGTCCTCATTTTGCTGATGAGAGGTCAGGGTGACAAGACAAAACAGGCACAGCTGTGATTATTTCCCTGCCACTTGGCACTCTGTGCTGCTCCCCTGGGTCCCATAAGTTCATGACATCAAACTTCATGCCTTTCTTCAGTCACTCAACCACCTGATTCTCTTCCAGGTGCTGAGCCAGCTGACCCCGCAGACCGTCACGGAGATAGATGGACTCCTGGGGAACAAACCACATTCCAAGAAATAATCTGTCAGGGACACAGGGACCCAAACCTGGACCACTGCACCCCTACCTACCTGCCCACCCAGAACTGCTTCCATACACCCACCTCCTTCCAGCTCCGGATCCCTCCCGCCAGAGCCAGAGTAGCCCTGCCCACTAACGAGTTCTGGCTTCGATAAGATAATCGATATGCATGAACAAAGCCATATCCTTCTGCAGTGGGTTTGAGAGGAAAAGTAGTCCGCTGCTCCCTGCTGCGTTCTTCTAGGCCTTTTTGCTAATCCTGGGCATGAGCTACTGGGCCGTCTCTTCTCTGTCATTTGGTCTTGCTCCCTTTCTTTTACCCCAATAGCCAAAGCCCCTTAAAAAAAAAGAAAAACAAAAAACGGCAGACATAAACGCAGAGTACCTCAGAAGTGGCCCTTGAAATATCATCAAGGGGTAATAACCTAGAATAAGAAGTGAGTTGTGATATCATCTGGGACAACAGAAAATGGGGCTCTTATGTTATCTCGTACTAAAGAAGCCAGGCTGGCCCTGGCAGGAAGTAAACGATACTCTTTGGGAAACCAGGACCCTGCTTCCCAGCCCGGAGGTGGAGGAGGGCTTAAAACTGAAATTAGTATTAATACCTTGTTTCTGCCCAGAGTGTAGGGGTGGGGAATACAGTGACAACAGCACTGACAAAGTTAGAGGGAAATTTGATGGCTAACTTGGCCAGGGTAGCCCTTGGAAAACACGATTCGGCTGTACTTTGCAGGAGATGGTGACAGCCTTTAGGTCACAGCAGATATATGGGGCTGACAAACAAAGGTCTGGGGATAGACTTTTGAGCTTTTAGCAGGGCTTCCTACCTGTCAGTGAAAGACTGCAGTCTTCCTTCTGGCAATAATCTTAAAGCAATAATGACGGCCCCTCTTCTGTAAGACTTTCCAGGGAATTGTAAATAAAATCTCAGTTTAATCCTTCCTCACTCACTGCGTGTTGACATTGCAGGGGGTGGGAGGTTAGAGTCTCAGTCTCAGATAGCTGGCCCTCTAAACCCTTGCCATTAGAAAGTTCCAGTACTAGCTTTCTCTCCATCGCTCACATGCCTCAGGGACCCAAGCCTTGTGCTCCTAGGCACTGCTCTCATCAAGGACCCAGGCACCAGATTACTCAGCCCCCGTTTTCTTCCTTCCTTCAGTTGCCACATTCCTTAGAACCCAGAGAGATCTGGCTTCGTAGTCTTTTTCCTCCCTCTGACACTACTGCCCTTGCTTCGTTTTGAAAGTTGTCTTGTACTTCCTAATTTCCCTCTCGTCTGATACCTACACATATGCCAGGGAACTATCTTGGTAGTTTTCTTGTGGCTGAGTGGGAGGGGCTGTTCCGAGGTGGAGGCTTTGGGATTCGGTGAAGGAGAGGTAAAATGAAACCCAGTCCATGGTTGAGATGATACAGAAAAGGGAAAGGAGTTATCATTATAAGGAAAAAAAAACAGAAAACAAGTGAAAGATTAGGTGTGAGGGTGGCAGAAAAGCAGACTCGAGGAGGATTATGTCAGATACCACCCCTTAGTCTTCCCCAAAGGACTCCAATTTCCCTGAGACAGAAAGTGGGTGGAAAGTTACAACCTTTAAAGATCACAAGGCAAGAAAGGATGAGATCTGCCTTCCTTAAAATACAACCTCATCATCTCCCTACTACCCATCCTCACCTTTGATCCTAAAGCTGAGAGAGCAGAGTAAAATCAATTTCCAAAAGAGAAACAGCAGCATGCCATTTTTGGGATTAGTAACGAACCAGATCAACTAATGAATACTTACATCCCAGTTCTACTCATTTTGGAAGACTGTGGAGGAAACAAAGAGGTAAAATGTATTGCTAAACTATGACTGGTTATTCTGTAACATACATGAATTTATAAATTCAAAATAGTCCTCTTTTAAATAATTATCTTGGAGAGGTCTGCACTTACTTAAAAATGCCTCCCTCATTTCTCAAAATATTAAAAAAAAAACCCTCCTTATAATTACCTTCAGATTCAGTTTAGAAACCCCTTATAAGAAACCTTCTTTTATTGTCACACCTCATTCACCACATTTATCACTTACCTCATTCATTAATTTAACAAGTATTTGTTTACCGAGTCCTACTATGGGATACAATGGTGAACAAAATCAGACACAGAATCACCTTTATAGTACTTACTCATGGGTGAAACAAATAACCCCCAAACAAAAACTTTAGTTATCCAAAGTTCAGAGGAAATGCTGCCCTGAGAGCTGACAGATGAATAGGTGTACCAAGGTGAAAGCAAGAAGGTTAGAGGGATAGCATACAAGAAAGCCTTGTGGCAGAAAAAAAACATACAAGCCGAAGGTCTCAAAAACCAGTGTCTAAAGAGGGAAGGGAAGCAGAACGTGAGACATGGGTGGGTTCAGAACATAGAGAGACTTCATAGGGCATTTTAGAATATTATCTTTATCTTAAGAACAGCAGGAAACCCTCTAGATCAGTTATATATTGATACACCACAAATCACCTCCAAAATTTAGCGGCTTGAAAGAACTTCTGAACACTTAATTTTTAAAATCATTTGTGTGTGTGTGTGTGTGTGTGTGTGTAATTCTGTGGGCTGGTTGGGGGTGGCAGGGCTCCTCTGTTATTTTCATCTAGGCTCACTCATGTGGCTGAATTCAACCAGTTGGTTGTCTGGGCAGGAAAATCCAAGATGGACTCACTAGTACATCTCATTGTTAAAACTGGCTATTGGCTGGGGCTCCTCAGATCTCCTCCATGTGGCCTCATCCACCACTGGTTTGAATTGCCTTACATGGTTGTCTCAGGGAAATACTGCAAAGGGACAGAGGCAGAAACTGCAAGGTCTCTGAAGGACTATGCTCCAGTATTCATCACTTCTGGCACATTCTATCAGACAAGCAAGTCATGGAGGGATAGCGAAATGACCCCAATTCCTTCTCCTTAATGGGAGAAGCACATTAAAAGGTTTAAAACAGGAGAGCAAAGGGTGTGTGGTAGGACATGATTGAGTTTGAGATTTGGGAAGATCACTCTAGTGTAGAGAAAAGCTAGCATAAGGCCATAACAGCTATGGACGAAATGGTTAAAAGGCTCCTATGAGGGTCTAAGCAAGAGATGATGGCAGCTTGGACTAGGGTGGTATGCTGGAGGTAGAGAAAAGTGGGTGGCTTAGAGGGATATTTAGGAGGCAAAATGAACCAGGCTTGGTGATAAGTCAGTAAAGGGAGATGAAAATGAGAGAAGGGTCAAGATTAACACCTAAATTTCTGGAGTTAGATAAAGAAAGAAGTAGAAAACGCTGGAAGAGATGCTGATTTGGACAAAGAAATCATTGGTTGGGGTTCCTGGAGATAAATAGGAAAGGAAGAGACTGAATATCCAGGACTGAAGTTTAGAGAGGCTTTAACTGTCAGCTTGGGAGCATTTATATAATCAAATCTACCTTAAAAGTTTAAGGTTTAATCAACAACTAGAGATATTAAAAGATGTGAGATCTCCGAACAGCATTCCAAAGAGAAGTTCCAAAACAGTTGTGAATTATGACAGTGTCATTGGAGTAAGTAGATAGTTTTCCCCCAAGTGACCATGAAAACAATACAGAAGTTCTGTATTGTTTGCTTAAAAATAATGGTCTACCTCCTCACAAAAGATTATCCTCTAAGGTTTTAACAATCTAGTTTAAAGCAAAATCAACTCTACACTGCCATGGGTGTAGAGAAGCCCATCTTGTATTGATCAAGAGAGATGGGTGTTGAAAATGTTGAGTAGAGAGAAGTTAAAGTGAACACAATATAGACTGGGGGCACGGGATAATAATTACAGCTAATATGTGGTGTTTACTTTATGCCAGGCATTGTTCTAAGTACTTTACATATATAGGTTCATTCAATCCTATTATTATCCACATTTTATAGATGAGGAGACCAAGGCCCAGAGAAGTTAAGTAACTTGCTCAGTGTCACAACTATTAAGTAGTAGTGGCTGGGATATGAACTCAAGCCAACTGGTTCTAGATATTACCCTCCACACCAGAACATGGATTGCAGGTCCAGGAGAGGAAGGTCAGAAGGAGGCAGTTGGGGATGGGTGTGGCACCATGAGGGAATGTGGGCTGTGAGTACTACGTCCTGTTTACCTGTCAGGGAGGTCAGATCCCTGAGTCAGAACTCATGCTGGGCTGCTTTGCTGGAACCATCGTGGTATGTGGGTGTCTAGGCCTGGCTACTCCGGAAGGAATGGATTCCCAGCATTCCTAAGGCCATGGTCCTGAAATCTAAGGCCCTCCTTAGGCTGAAATGTCAGCTGGGAATTGAAGAGTTTGAGAAGAAAAAAATTGGGGGATCAGCCTTGCAAAAACACAAGATAGTCATGGATAATAATGCCAGAATGAGCTACTGCCAGGCAGCATCTGTTAAAACATCCCAGAGTCCACTGAAGATTGGGTAGAATGGGCACTGTCACTGGCTGAGGAAGTGTGTTTGGGTAGGGTCGTAAAAATGTGATCAACTGAATGAACAGGCCCAAGGGGCTGTAGAGACCCGTGCCAGTGGCTGAGGCGGGGCACAGGAAGGGGACAAGGGAGGTTGCACATAGTAGAATTAGAGAACACAGCTTTTGTGTTGGAGGATAAAGATGTGGAGGAAGTAGAAGGTTGTGGGCCTTTTATCGCCGGGTCTCGGCACCACTTAGGCTTCCTACCCAACTCCCCGACCAGCTCCGGCAGCTTTGACATTCCCGGCCTCTGGCCTCCACCGCCCCCACGCGTGCCACCTCAGGGAGCGTCCAGACCACTGCGTGACGCCGAGAGGGGCGGGGTCTCATTATTAAAAGGGGCCAGAGGCCGCGGCGCGGGCCCCAAGACCTGACCCGGGTCGCAGGGACGGCCAGCTCGTTCTGCCCACAACATCAGCCACATTAGCGACATCCTTGAGTCCGCGGCGTGCACCATGCAGCTCCTGGTGAAGGTGCCATCTCTTCCAGAGCTGGGAGAGATGGACTGCAACATCTGCTACCGGCCCTTCAACCTCCGGGGCCGCGCGCCCCGCCGCCTGCCCGGAACGGCGCGTGCCCGCTGCGGTCACACACTCTGCACAGCCTGCTTGCACGAGTTGGTGGCGCGCGGCGACCGCAGTGGGGCGGCAGCGCGCATGGTGCGCTTGCGCCGCATCGTCACATGCCCCTTCTGCCGCGCGCCCACCCCACTCCCGCGCGGCGGGGTCACGGAGGTCGCTGTGGACCCAGACTTGTGGTCGCGGTTGGAGGGAAAAGCCCGTGCGGAACGTGAACCGGATGAAGCAGGTAGCCCGGTAAGGGAAGGTGGCGAAGCCGACAGAGAGGCCGACGATGAGGAAGAGGAGAGCGAGAAGGGGTCTAGGTCGAGGAACGCGGGGTGGCGCACTGTCCGGCGGCTCTTGGACAGGTTGATGGCTCCCGCGCGCCGCTGGCGGCGCCCGCTGCCTAGCAACGGTGAGTGGCCATCCCCGGAGGCTGCCGGGGAGAGAGGGCCCAGGAACTCCAGGGTTAGGCTGCATCCTCATGATGCCACTAACACCTCTTCTTTCCCCCAGTGCTATACTGTCCGGAGATCAAGGACTTTGCCCACATGACCCGCTGCACACTGTAACTCCGGGACCCGGAAGCTAAGGCAGAAGGAAGGTGGGATCTGCATTCTCAGGGCCTACAAGTGGCTTATGCCAAGGCTACACCCTCTCCCACCCAGGACTGGCACTGATGAGGAAGTGGAGCTGAGGGCGGGAGGGAACGCCCTAGGAGGTGTTGATGCTGAGCTGGGGAGGCTCCTAGACAGATCTCCCCCATCTGCTGGCTGTGCCAGTCTTACATATTCAGGATGGAGTGGCCCAGGGATGATAAAAACAGTCTGCGTTCCCGTGGGAAGAATACAGATTGTTTCCTTAGCTGTGACTTGGCTTTTGTCCAGGGCAGCTCTGATGTGTGGGAGCAACAAGTCCCATTTTAGCAATTTTGTGTCAACGGTTTGAAAATTCCAGAAAGATGGAGCAGGAGGAAAAGGCTGATTTTCAGGTCATGTTAAATCTCACTTCTCTACAGGGTAAGAGAACTGAGAAAAATAAGCCCTTTGGTTCCCCACCTCTCTCCCCACCTCGGCGCTGGTATGCCTACTGTCTCCCCACTCCAAGTACTATATCCCTAAAATTATCAAGATGCCACTGCCTTGCTTCATTCCTTAATCTCCCTTCAACTTGTTAGGGCAGGTATCAGAAGGTCCAAAGAACATTAATCCAAGGCACCTAATTAGGGCCTATCAAGGATAGAAGGGAGAGACACTTGGTAAAACCATCCAATTTTAAACTTTTGATACTATCTGTACTTTTATAGTCAAAGGGAAACAGTCGCTACTGAAAAAAAGATGCCCATTTAATTTTGTATACAATAGTTGGACTTCTATTGTATGCCATGGATTCTATTTTTAAAATCCCATCAATATCTTATACTAGGTCAGTGTAAGCTTATTGGAAGTGCAAAATCTCAGCATTCCATTTCCGACTTACTGAATCAGAACCTGCATTTTAACAAGAATCCCAGGTAATATGAGCATCTTAATATTTAAGCATTGGTCCACATCCTAGGTGCTCTAGGATATTACCATCTATGGGTTGAATATTTAGAACACAAATGGTATTTAATAAGTTATATACTATTTTATTGGTTTTTAAGTGACATCTTCTGTTGAAGTAATCTTAAATTCTTCATGCACATAGTTGCATTTTCCTTTGAATTAAAAATGTGAACTTAAGTATAAGCCCCAACTTTTGTAACTATATTTTGGCTTTTTTTCTAAGTCTGAGCTTAAATGTTCCCTCTCTTGGGAGGCCTTTCTCAGTATTCACCTCGGTGTTGCCCCTTCCCTCACCCTCTATAGCATGCCTTGTTTTATGGTCACTGCTTTTATATTTGTTGGCGCCCCCGCCCCCTAGAGTGTAAGTTTTGTGAGAGCAATGACTGCCTCGTGAGTATTGCATCTCCAGGCTAACAACAGTGTTAATGTATAGTGTGTATTCAATAAATGTTTGTTGGATTTATCTTCAATTCTTTAACACTCAAAAAACTGATCTCTCTCAGCCTCTGAGCAGCCCTGGCAGTGAGCAACATATGTCAAGGAAGTGTCTAACAGTTCAAATATTTAGCAAGCCATGGAAGTCTAACCCCACCCCCACAGCTCCTTTGCAAAAAAAGTACTTCTGCCGTGGCTGGCATAGCTCAGTGGATTGAGCGCGGGCTGCAAACCAAAGTGTTGCAGGTTCAATTCTCAGTCAGGGTACATGCCTGGGTTGCAGGCCATGACCCCCAGCAACCGCACATTGATGTTTCTCTCTCTTTCTCCCTCCCTTCCCTCTCTAAAAATAAAAAAATAAAATCTTTAAAAACAAAAAAAAGTACTTCTACACACTTGAAACTAAACCTGTGGAGCTTTGGTGACCTCTACTGACTCTTGTGGGAACTATGCAACTTGAAGGTGGAAAGGATGATCAAAGGATGAATAGAAGGCAGTTCTGAATCTCCAGGCATCCCTCCCACACTTGTTGGATGAACCCTGCTCTCTCTAATCTCAACCTGAGGCCTGTGTAGGTATCTAGCTGGTCACCCTCCATCTCTAAACTGAGCTCATCACATTAGGGTTGGGGTTGGAAAGAGAGCCTCAGAGTTTTAGTCGATAATCCAAGAAAATAAAAATGAGAAAAAGGTAGTCACAGGATTTTTTTAGAGAAAAAGAACGATAATATGAAATGACAGAAAGCAATACCATTTCCTTATCCCTCCCCCCAATCAAAGAACGCCCCCACTCAAAAATAACAAAGCACACAGAAAGGAAAGTATAATTTATATGTACAACCAATAAACCTGATACAGAAGAGGGGACTGGGACAGACCAGGAGTGTGAAAAGAGACTGGGAAAGGGGCAGCAAGAAAGTGAAGGGGCAGCAAAGAGGAAGTGGGGGGTTCGCCATGCAAACTGCCACTCTCCTCAGCCCCTCCTGGGGAGCAAGTTATGTCCATGTCTCCCTAACCTGCCCTTATTATTTTGCTCTGGTCCCAAAAGTAAAGTAATCCCCTGATTAGGCCCCCTGCCTAACCCACTCAAATTTAGTCCACATTCAGGCCTTCAGGATGGAAGGAAGTCCTCAAAAAACTTGAGCCCCAGAGGTGGGGGTCCCCCCAATACCTGGCCCATTATGTTTCCTCCTACCCTTTCTAGGTTACCTGGGTCCCTAGGGCAGATTGGGAAGCTCCTCTTTGGCTTGAGGGAGTATCGCCCAACCATTACTCTCTTTGTAGGGGTAGCTCTCGGCCCCTGTGGAGGGGGTAAGATGCCCGACACAAGATGCCAGTACACAGGAGGTAACTGAGCCAGTGAATGGCGCCTTTATTCTGAGGCTGAACAGCAATTGACTCCCTTGTAACTGCTCCACACTACTTGAGGAGAGGTAGGGAAAGGAAACATGCAGCCACCCCTCCTCTTCCCTTCCTCCCTCCCTGGGCTCATTGTCATCCCTATCTAAAGTCCCCCTCCTCTCTTCAAAGCTCCTTTCCCCCACCAAAGTTTCTAAAGGCCAGGCAATGCTAATCCCCCACTTCTGCACAAGATGGAGCTTATATTATATTGCAGGAATAAAGATTGGGGAGGATCCACTTCTTTCCTCCCCACAACCATTTATTGAGAAGCTGTGTATGTTTGGCAGTGGAGGATAAAGGTACTTGGAAGACCCTGCTAACCCAGACCTCTTCTCACCAGCAGTCTTCAAAGCATGGTGGGAAAGGTGCGCGGGAGTGGAGAAAGACAAAGGGCTCTTCTTGAAGAGAGGAGTCACAGAGAGGGACAAAGGGGCTCCTAGCCCAGTGGTGGCCCAAGGGCTGGGGAAGGTGGAAGGTTGGCAGCAGGCCCCAGAGCCTGAGCTGGGGGTCGACCTCGGGCACGGGGCCTGGATGATGGGCAGGCCTGGGATCCAGTCAGTCGTCTATACAGATCACCTCCCCGGCTCGGGGCTCCTTCCGATCCAGCCCGTCTGACACCAATGCTCCCACCATTTCCTTCTCCTTCTTCACCAGCACTGGAGGGCCGTTGGTGGCGGCTGTTTGGGCAAAGGATAAGGAAGTGTCAATCCCTATTTCTCTCCTAAACATCACTTTCTGACAACAGTATACTCTCATTTCCAAGTCACCTTATGCCACTTGCAATTGTCTGGGATACTGGTAGGAAGACCAGGGCAACCCCTCTCCCTGATAGTCCCCTTTGTGCCGCATGATGGAACACATGTTCCAACTCTCACTATACCCCCTTTTCATTCATATTCTCTTTCCCTGAAGTAACACAGATGGAGGAGGCTCAGGTAAGAGCTACCAAGCTGTAGAACTACCGAAACCCTGAATGAGGTTTGTGACAAAGGAAATGGAAGAGAAGCTAAGAAAGTGTGGGAAGAAGAAAGCCCAGAACAATTTCTTTCCATAAAACACAGGGTACTTCCAATGCAATGAGGTGGGCTGAAGCAACAAAAGGGTAGCTGAGCAGGGATAAGCTCAGAAAAGGAGGAATGAGAGGAAGTCAGCTGACCTGTGATGAAGGACCCTGCGGGCATCTGGCTGTAATTGGCGCCTGCGGCGGCCAGGGCCCCTACGGGAGCGGGACTGAAGGCTGCCCCGTACCCCGGAGGTGTAGCATAGGGACCTGGAGGAAACACCTGGAATAGAGAGCAAGATCAGGTTAGAAGGTCTACAGTCCAAGAGGAAAGAAACTGAAGGGAAAACATTATGGGCCAAACTCCAGAACTACTGCAGGGTATAGCATACAGGCATGGAGACTCAAGGGTGAGGAATATGGTAGAGTGTATCGTTTTTCCATACTGTATAGGATTCAATGTACGTGTATGTATATGTGCAGGAGGAGTACCAACAGGGGAACGCAGTTAGAGGGAAAGGGGGTTACCGGTGTGGGGTGAGGCTCCGTGCCCTTGCTGGCCAGCCGGCTGAGGATGCTGCGCTCTGACATCTGAAGGCGGGCTGCGATGGGGGGTATTCGAGACAGCGTGGCTGGCAGGCGGGTCACGTCTGCCTTCATGTCGCTCAGCAATTCCTCCAGCTGGTTCAGAACTGGGGCCCGGGCCACGGAGAAAGAAGGGCAAGCAAGAGAAAGACAGGCAAAGGAAGAGATGGAGCCAGGAAAAGAGATGAGGAGTCAGATGGACAGATAAAGTCAGAAAAAGAGAGCAAGAGGACACAGATGTCAAAGAACCAGAGAAGAAAACGACAGAAATAGGCAGAAAAAGAGAGTGACTCGGTGGAAGGGGAGTAAGTGTCAGGTAAAGAGGCAGAGAGACCAGATCACCACATAGAGAGATGAGAGAAGAAAGGAGGAAAGGGATCATGGAGAAAAGGGAGACAGGGGAGGACAGTAGAAGACATGGGGGCGGGGAGTTGTCAGAACATCCCGTACTGGAAGAGTGAGGTTTTGGGGTTGGGGATGATGGGAAGGAAATAGTCAAGAGGCACGGGGAAGTGGTAAGTGGTGTCAAAGATTTAGGGATCAAGGTTTTAATATATAATGGGGGAGGGTGGTTAGAGGGTCAGCATTACAGATTCAAGGAATTAGAATAGGAATCAAAGGTTCCAAGAGTCAGTCACTACATCAGATAGGATTAGACGGTTAAAGGGCTTTGGAATTTTATATTTTATTTTCAAGGTAAGAGGGTTTGGGAGGAAGGGGTGAAGGTCAGAGGGACGTTTCATGGAGTAGGGTCAGAGGGTGGGATGATGGTAGTTTCTGCCTTGTGGGGTGAATGAGATGTGAGGAATGTGATTTGTGGGATTGCAGATAAGGATTTTTGTGGGCTCTACACAGGCCAATACCCCAGGGAGGGTGCTATTAGCAGTATGGCAGGCATGTGGGTCAGCAAAGAAGTTCTGCCCTTTAGAGATGATGTGCAGTCTCATGGGGTTCTGGGGAGAAAGTCCCTCTTTTAAACACCGATGTGAATGCTACTGGGCATAGATGAGGCCTGGCTGCACAAACCCTAGAGACTAAAAACCAAGGGGATGTCAGGTGGGTCAGGGGTGGGGTTAGAGGTCAGAGGGGGATGGTTCAGAGGGAAAGGGGTCAGAGGGGTGGGAAGATTTTGAGGGATGCGGGGTGAAGACTTACGCAGCGTTGTGGGCCCTCCCCCGCGCGGGGCCGCCGCGGCCCTTACCCTTGTGCAGTACGGCGTTGGCCGGCTTGTTCCCCGCCAGCGACTCCTTGGAGAGGTGCTGGTGGCTCTCAGCCAGGCACTCGGCCTCGGCGAAGCGGGCGTGGAGGGCCATGGCGGGGTGCGCCGGCTCCTGCGATAGATTCAGGTAGGCCGCCCGCCGAAGCTGCTCCTCAATCACCAGCGCCTGCTCCAGGAGCTGAGGGCATGGGGAAAGGAGATTAGTGCAGGGACCTAGCAGTGAGTGGGTGGATGGAAGGCGAGAGACAGCACTGGAGAACACACTGCCCTCTCTGCTAGCTCAGGGAACCCCCAGCTCCACACCAATACCACCCCTAGCATCAGCCCAGATCCAGACCACAGTCCCAAACATAAGGTTACACTCTGCTCTTGGCCTCAAGCATCACCACCACCCTCAAAGTGTTAAACCCTACAGTCCAACCAGTGGGCCGACCTCTGGCCCAACCCCTCTTCAACATTGTTCCCTTCTTCCCTCATCCCCACCTTGAATCTCCGGGCCAGAAACTTATTTTTCATCTCCAGAAAGTTTCCCTTATTGGCTTCAGTTTTAAATGGCTCATTGATAATGGCAAACTGAGCATCGTTCTGGATGTCCTGCCACCGTGCGTAGCCATGGCTGCCAGTGAAGGAAGGGGACCATCAAGGAATTTAACAGGGCAGGGTTGGGCTATGGACACTTCTTCCTTTTAACTTCATCTCCCCCAAGTGTGGCACTATGCCCCCTTCCCTGGGTGTGGACACCTCTTCTCTGTGATTCCCTTTCCAGGTTGAGAGAGCTTTTTCCTTTCTTGTATTTCTACCAAAGGATACAGGACAATCCCAGC